GCCAAACAATCAGTCAACCAGCCAACCAACCAAGCAACCAGTCAACTAGCCAACTAGTAAACCAACCAAGCAACCAATCAAACAATCAACCAACCAACCAATCAACAAACCAACCAATCAGCCAACCAGCCAGCCAACCAACCTCTCAACCAATCAACAAACCAAGCGACCAATCAACCAACCAAGCGACCAATCAACCAGCCAACCACCTAACAAACCAGCCAGCCAATCAACTTTCCACTCAACCAATCTCAACTGACAAACCGACCGACCAACTAACTAATTAACTAATCATTTCTATGAACATTCTTCACGGCGTTTGACAGGTCCACAAATAACGATTAGTAGACACGCACGTACAACAACACAGCAACTTTCTAGCAACTTTCTATCTACCAACACAACACGCTAAAATAATTTATAATTTACTAGCACTAAAACCCAACACAACCGCGCACACATGCACACACACGCACACACACGCACACACGCACAATCCATAAACAAACACATACAAATACAACACAGCAATAACCCACTTACTTGACTTGCAGCAACAACAAACTCGAGCACACGCCACACAACAACAACAACAACAAACATCTCAAACAGTAGACCACAAATCACCAAAACCAACAACCAGACGCAACAACCATCATACAGAAACAAAAGACAGAACAACAACAAACAACAAGAACACACTGAAATCACTAGTTAGTACTTAAAAACGAAAACAACAACAAAATACAAAATTTTCCTTGAAACACTTTCACATCAACAAGACAACTGCATCATAACCATTTAAAACACGACAACAGCATAACAACCACACCACCATAGCCACGCCACCACAACCGCTCAACCACAACAGCCACACCACAACAACCGATCAACCACAACAATCACTCAACAACAACCGCATCGACCGCAACTGCACAAAAGCAAAACAACGAAGACAGATTCAATGTGGATGTTAATAGCTGTATGGCGTGATGAACAGAACATAAATAGCTGCTAACGCATAGATGCCTTTGTAGTCACCTCAACAGCCACCATATCAAAATGAACGACAACCACAACAACCACATCAAAAGTTACATTGACAACAATTATAATTACATCCAAACAACAGCCATAACAAAACTTACAACAATAACAACAACAAAAACAACAATTAACCGAAAATATATTGCAAGCATTACAGAAAAATTACAATCATTACCTTATCAACGATTTAAACTTTAAACGACCAAAATTTTGCTTGCTTTAAAACTCAGTTGCCAGCAACCAAACCATAAACAAATATAAACAAATTTTGTTAACTACACAAAAACGCAGAAGTTCTTAAAAAATTCTTCAAAATAACGAGCTAGAAAACAAACAAAATAGTTTAATATTTTTTAATGATCATACTTAATTTTTGCACCATTCTTTCAAAAAACCATTCCTCAGTATCGTAATGAATCGTAATATTTGTATTGGTGAGGTTGAAACTCTACCTAATAAATACATTTGTCAGGTTTGAAGCTAAATTTAACAAAGTTTTCATGTAAATTTTTAAAATTCTGATTGAAAATTCTTGCATTTTTTGCAAAATTTGAGTTGAAAATTAAAGTTTCGTTTTGGAATTTGTAAAAAATGTGGTTTAAACGTTAAAAGCGGTAAATTTTTTGTAAAATATTTTTCTGGCTAAGAAATAAAAATATAAACAACGACTGCATTCGAACCAAGGGCCAGTCATTTCAACTAAACCATTCATTCAATCATTCGTTCTTTCGTTCGTGCTATCAATATCCTACCCCCCCAGTGTGGAAATACCGAAATAAATGTGTTTCCATTGTCCGGCTAAATTAATTTTCCTTTAGGTACTAAACAGCTATTATTTATGTTCAATGCTGTAGAAAAATTTATTTCTCAAATCTTTCGGTTTCGAATTTTTTAAACAATTAAAAGAAAATTAGATTAAAAATTTGATGAAAATAGCTGAAACATATTTCGACATTTTGTGAGAATTAAAAACTCGCAGAATAAAATGAATCATGTTACAAAACGTAGCGTTACATATGGACACCTGAGGGCACAGTTCACCACATTAATATTTCCATTTGTATTTCTTTTTTTACTTTTTTATATATAAAAACTTTAATAAAATTTTTATTTGTTTTTATTTATTATTTTTATTATTTCATTTTTTTGTTATTTTTAATTTTTTTAGTGTCTAGTGAACCGCAACCAAAATTTATCTGAATATGTAAATTATTTATTATACTGAATATATGAGTTAGTGTGTGATATTCAGAGAAGTTTTTTTTACGATTTTGTTTGAAATGTTTGTTATCGACGATTGGAAACATCAAAGCGAAGTTTTTCGGTAACATGGAGGGTTTTCACAAACTTCTAACTAGAAATACTACGTCCTTAAAAGCTTCAACGCGGAAATTGAAATGTCACCCTTTTAACATCGAACATCTTGAAAAGTTCGAAAATATAACCTCCTAAAGTTAGAAGTAAAATTTTTTGGTCAGATAAAGTAGACCCAAAAATTATGAAATTACAACAGAGGCTTTAAAAGCAATGACACTGTCAAAAAAGACGGCAACGATTTCATTCAGAACATCAAACCTAAACAACGACATTTTCTGTAACAACTAGCAAAATGAACAAAACAGAATGAAATTGCGATAGAAAATTTTAAAAGAAAATTGAAAAACAACACCAGTGTTTGTCTAATGCTGGTTTAATGTGTTAAAGGTGTCTAAACCTTTTAAAAGAAACAAACAAACAATCAAACAAACAAACAATTATTCAAACAAACAAACATTCGAACGAACAAATAAACATTCAAACGAACATTCAAAAATAGGCTAGGTGGTGGTTCCATCTGGTGTTGTTTGTAATGTTTGTTGTGATTGTTGTTGTTCTTTACGGTGATATTAACGTTACTTATGTTACATCTTATGTTATTGCTGTTGATGTTGTTGATGTTGTTGTTGTTGCTGCTGTCGGTTTATGCAAATGGGGTTGTTGTTGATATATTTGTTGACGCGCTTCTGCAAACGTGAAGCAATTGCCTTCTATCTTTTCAGTACCATGGCTAGTTGCACAATTGGTTTGTCGCTTGTGTTTTCGGTTCATTGAGTAGTTGCCTGGTAGTATGTGCTTGTGTAAGTTTTGTTTGTTTGTTTGTTTGTTTACTTATGTGCTTTTATGGATGTGTTGTTCATTTTATTTACTCCAGGATAAACTAGAAAATTTTGAGTTAATCATTTTAAAAAAGTTTTTAAATTTTATGTAATTTGGTTTGTTGCTATTTGGTTATAAATAATTTTCGATGTTTTTTTTGTAATGAAATTTTCCAGCTGTTGCTATATTTTAATATCTTAGATGTTTTTTTTGAGTATTTCTTTGAAAGTTGACTGGTATGAATTTTTGAAATTTTTGAAACTAAGTTTTTAGTTTTAACAACCGATCATATTGATCTGACGTCAAACATGTTTTATTTTAATTTTATTTGAGATTAAAAATTGCCAAAAAAAACTTATTTTATTATTAATTATTATTTTTGTATGTAATGACATAAAATCTTTGTAAAAAAAAATGACTAATATTCATTCAAGATTTTAACAAAATTTTACGTTAAAAGCAAAAATTTCAAATGAAAATGAAAATGGAGAAAAAACAAACTGTAAAGGCATTTTTAATGTTGAATGAAATTCTGAAAGAGAAGCCAGGCTGCCATCCGCTTGTCACGAACATTTTGCCTCTAATTTGTTTTTTTTTTATTAGCATAATTACATCTATCATCATCTTCTTCATCATTTTCATCATCATCGTCGTCATTAACTTCATCATCATCGTCTTGATCGTCATCATCTTGATCGTCATCATCTTGATCGTCATCATCTTGATCGTCATCATCATCATCGTCATCATCATCATCATTGTCGTCATCATCTTGATCATCATCGTCGTCATCATCGTCATCGTCGTCAACATAACCACTGTTAAAGTCATTATTATCATAATTTTGTTCGTCATCATCGTCATCTTCATGTCTAATCTTCAGCAAACATGTCAACATCATCATCATAATCGCTATCTTCGTCACTATCATCATTGCTTGATGTTTCTTATATCATTACTTGACTATGGTAATCATCATCACGATCATCCTCCTCATTATAATATGTATCATTATCGTCATCGTCGTCATAATCATCATCATCATCAAAATTTTCATTTTGCCGTTTCCGCTATATATATCAGGTTACTTTGTTTGGACAGCAATATCATTAGTAGGAATATTATCATCAATGTCATCATCACTATGTATCTCTCATCACAATGTTGCCTTCCAACATTTACATGTTGATGATGATACAAATATCATCATCATCATCATCATCATCATATTTCTCGTCGTCGTCATCATCCTAATCATCATCGTTATCATTATGACTGTACTGACTGTACATCATCATTATCATCACAATTTTATCATCCCCACCAGCTTACTTTACCATCTTCAAGAGTTGGAACTCCAACATCATCATCCTCATCAGCAACAACAAAGAACAGAAAATCATTATCATCAACAAAGAACAACAACAACAGCCTTAATAATAATAGTAACAACAACAGCACAAATAGCTGCAGCAACAACAACAACAGCATCGACTTAATGACAAACATCATCAGCAACAACAACCTAACCGGAACTGCGTGGAAGTTCACTTTTCAAGACTTCATTCCCAAGAAAGAAGAGATCGAGAGTTTCGAGTGAGTATGCGCTGGTGTACAATAATTATAATTATGTAATATTATAATAATTATATATAAAAAGTGTATGCGTGTCTGTGTGAAAGTCTGGGTGTGCGTGTTTGTGTATGTGCGTGTTTGTGTGTGCGTGTGCGTGCGTCGTGTGGGAAGGAAAAAGAGAATTTAATCACAAGGCCTCGACAATTTAAAAAAAAGATTAAAAAAAAGATAAAATTATGAGATAGGATGTAATTTGTAAATCTTGAACGTTTTTAAAGACCTTAAAAGTTAACGTCTGAACGATTAACTCATACATACGTAGTGGCATATACAGGGGTGTAAAGTTTTCAAAAGTTTGAAATTTGTCAGGGGTGGACCAAAAACTACCCCCCCCTAGGATCTCCAGGGCCTTTTAGCCTCTTTCCCTGAATCCCTATTTACAATCAACCACCCGCCAAAACAAAGTGAAGACAAGCAATTTTTAACATGCAAAAAATGTCCAAACGCTTTACTAACATTTTTAAAAGACAAAAATATCGTTTTTGTACGAGTACATCTCACTCGATTATGGTAGAGACTACATTGCAATGAAACAATGTTATAGATAGATAGACACGCATGCATGTCTGTCTCTCAGTCTGTCTCTCTGACTTTCTGTCTGTCTGTTTGTCTGTCTGTCTGTATGTATGTCTGTCTGTTTGTCTGTCTGCACAGAATTGATTGAAAACTCGTTGAGAAAATGATTCTATCACTATTCATTGCTTGTGTTTTATTTTATCTTTCTGTTTTTTTTATTGTTGTTATTGTTCTTTTCGTTTTTTTTATTAGATTTTACTTAATTAAAAATGTTTTTTTCCGTTTATAACATCATAAAAAAATTTAAAAATTTTTTTACTGCCCGCATACTACAATGAATCTAAAAGTTATTAACACTCGATACACACACATATACACACACGCTATTAATCTCTCTCTCTCTCCTTTTCTTTCTCTCACTTTCTCTCTCTCTCTTTCTCTCTCTCTTTCTCTCTCTTTCTCTCTTACGTTTTATAAAAATACAATACATCAAAATCAAACGCTCACTATTAAATATTTGGCCCATCAGGACATATCATCTCATTCATTCAGCCCGTCAATCAAGTCAAACGAGCAAGCATTGTTAAACTATTTTTATTGACGATAACATCCATTCAGCCAAGATTATCTTTTCAAATATTTCTTAAAGAAAACGAGTGCTTCTAAGCTTTTAAGAATGAAAGAAGCTTTCCTTTATAACTTTTTTCATTTTTTAGGGTTAGCAATTTATAAACGATAAACGTTTGACTTTTGTTTTTATGTCAGTAATTACAATAGTTTATGTGTGTGTGTGTGTGTGTGTGTGTGTGTTATGTGTTTTGTGTGTGTAAGTGTGTGTCTGTGTATGAGCGTGTGCGTGCGTGCGTGTGTGTGTCTGTGTATGAGCGTGTGTTTGCGTGTGTGTTAAAGATAGAAACAAACAATCGTTCGTCCTGGTTATTGTGCATCGATCCACTTTAGGCTGCATGTGTCGGTCTTATGTCACCTGGCGTATTTTATTACTCAGCTGACTAATGGTAAAACGGAAGTGAACGAATGAGTGAGTGAGTGAATGATGAATGAATAGATAGATGAATGGATGAATGGGTAGATGGATGGATGGATAGATAGATAAATGAATGAATACATAAATAAACAAACAAACTATTATATAAAAGTTTAAATGGATGGAACTGGTAAGTGGCAGAACGAAAATATTAATGTCTGAAGGAATGACTGAAAGAATGAATGAATGAATGGTTAGAAGAATGTTATTATCCTTTATTATCACCATTCTTCTTCATTATCTTATGTTAAAACTTGAAGAATATCGCCATTAATCACCCGTGCTTTCATATTCCAGTTTGCATTTGGAATGTTCTGAAAACATTTTAATTCAGTCAGCACGGTCATGTCATATCTACTGACACCATCACCAATGTTTATTGATAGTTTTCTGATGGCAAGATGGTGTAGTAGGTAAAGTGCTCGGCTCTGATGTGCAGCTACTAGGTTCAAACGCAAAGAAATCTCGCTCTTATCACATAAAACGTGTTTTATGTGCGTATATTGTTATATTGTTCGCTGTTCACCATGCAACCACGGTTAACAAACAAACAACGTTGTTTGTTCCTCTCTATCTGCTTCTGTGAACTCGCTTATATATAGTTATAACAAGTGAAATTGAAATAGAACGAGAAACTGTTTACTAATTATAGTTATTAAATTTGTTATTACCTAAATTATAATTATATATACTTTATTGAACAAATATACAGGCGTATTTACTTGCAGTGTGTGAGTGTGTTTATTCGATATATCTGAGATATAATAAAAGATTTCTTCGCATTCGAACCCCGTTACTGCTGCAAAAGGACCAAGCGTCTTAAGTACTAGGCCATCTAGCGGCCCATTAATATTACTAACATTAATTAATATTCCATTTCCTCATTACCATCATCCAAATTATCATCACATTAATATGGCATTTCCACAATTATCATCACCTTAATTATCTTCCACCTTCTTACTAGTTCCTTGGTTGACAAGGCAAATGCGTGGCTGATCAAGAATGACGGGGTGAAAGTGTTATCGTGCGAGACACTCACTCACTCGTTTTGTGATCGTTTCTGGCCCGTGAATTTGGAGGGCACCGTCAGCGCTAAGAAGATATCTCCACTGTCTGTTAACTATTTCATAAGGGCACTTAGGTTTGTGTGTTTTTGTGTGTGTTTCTGTGTGTGTGTTTCTATGTTTCTTCTGTGTGTGAGTTTGTGTGTGTATGTGCGTGTCTGTTGTAGTAATGTTTTTGTCAAAGTTATTTTGGTCACTCAAGGTGACAAAGTAATTTCTATTTTTCATTCATTCATCCTCATTCAATTTTTTTCAATTTTAGTCAGCATGTCACACATTTATTTATTTATTTATTCTTTCATTCATTCTTTCATTCACTCACCCTCTCATTCCCTCATTCATTTTTTTTGCAATTTCATTTCTTCACTCCCTCACTCAATTAGATTGTGGCTGGTTCCTCGTGCAGCGTCCAATCAGCAGCAGACCATTCACGTGATTGACTATTTACCACCATCCTCATCTTTATCCTCCTCATCATCATCAGCAGCAGCAGCAGCAGGGGCCCCAGTAGCACCGTCATCATCTTCAGCACCGAAACAACAGCCCACCACTTCATCGACATCATTATCATCACCGGTAGGCGGTGGTGGTAATGATAATGATGGAGGAATCGGTAATGATGATGGTGGTGGTGATAGTGACAGTGATGATATTGATACAGTCATCCGAAACATCAATAAAGATATAACTTCCGGTCTTTTGAAAGGTCGCAAATTATTATCGACGTGGTAATGATGATGATGATGATGATGGTGGTGGTAATGATGATGTTGTTGATGATGATGATGATGGTGGTGATGATGATGATGGTGATGACGAGAATGATGATGACGTTTATATAACCTATGACAAAAAATTTAATGATTATTAATCAAGAACTGCACTTAGAAAAGTTACTCACATTTGTGATCGTCATCGCCATAATCACCATTTTACGATTTAATTTTTAGTTATTTCACTAAGTTTTTTTTCCTCATCTTCCAGGCCAAATTTTATCGGCAGAGACAATTTCGGTGCCAATTTTGGACGATGTAGTTGATACACAGATGACTTTTTGGGCTGAAAAATCTCACTTAGCCCAGCGTTATGTTATTGGTGTGAGGTTGTACATGAATAAGGAGTCTAATGGAAAGATGTTTGGCTGTGAGAAGGTTTATCTTGGTGAGTTTTTGTTGGTTGGTTGGTTGGTTGGTTAGTTGGTTGGTTGGTTGGTTGGTTGGTTGGTTGGTTGGTTGGTTGGCTGGCTGGTTGGTTGGTTGGTTGGTTGGTTGGTTGGTTGGTTGGTTGGTTGGTTGGTTGGCTGGCTGGCTGGTTGGTTGGTTGGCTGGTTGGTTGGTTGGCTGGCTGGCTGGTTGGTTGGTTGGTTGGTTGGTTGGCTGGCTGGCTGGTTGGTTGGTTGGCTGGTTGGTTGGTTGGCTGGCTGGCTGGTTGGTTGGTTGGTTGGTTGGTTGGTTGGTTGGTTGGTTGGTTGGTTGGTTGGTTGGTTGGCTGGCTGGCTGGCTGGTTTGTTGGTTGGTTGGTTGATTGGCTGGTTGGTTGGTTGGTTGGCTGGCTGGTTGGTTGGTTTGTTGGTTGGCTGGTTGGTTGGTTGGCTGGCTGGCTGGTTGGTTGGTCGGTTAATTCTTCATTGGTTGAAGAGTTTAATATTGATTAAATATTTTAAAATATTTCAGTTGTTACTTCAATAAAATAAAAACTTGTCTGTAAAAAATTTCCAATGCGAATTAATTATTTCATTTGATTGATTGTTGTTACGCTCAACATCTTGCTAATTAACATGAGTGACTGATGAACATTGGAGAAAAATGCTTCGACAGATTTCTGTGTGATGTGTCGGTGAAATTATTAATTGACATTATGAAAAGCGCTCGAAATTTAGCGTTCAATCGAAACTGAAATCACACATTCCAACTCAGATAAACAAAAACGAAAGTACAGTAGA